ATTCCACAAAGCAAATACTATATCCCTCTAAAGAATGTATTTAACATGAATTAATTTGTAATGATAGATTAGTAAACAAGGTCTGTCTAGGGTAGCCAAAAAAAAAATTCCGTACCGTACCTCCAAATTTATTACTTTAATAGTTATTTTTATAATTTTTGTGAGTCATTTTATAATTACAAAATTTATCATTTTTGTGGGTAATTTATTATTTTTATAAGTATTTTTTACTACAGTTGTGATAATTATTTTTATAACTTTTCTTCAGTAAAAAATAATTATTACTTTTGTGGGTGATTTATCAGATTTTATGACATTTTTTTTATCACTGTTATAAGTGTTTTTATTATTGTTATGATAATTATTTTTACTATTTTTTTCAACATTATAACAGTGGAAAAAACACTTATAATAGTGATAAAAATACCTACAAATTTAATAAATGTCCATATAATATCAATTTTTTTTTTCGATACGATAGACTTTGAGATGACATTTGAGATTTGATCAACAAAAACTTATCTGTTTGGTGTCTGAGCTCTAAGTTATGAAAGACTATACATTGTCGGTCTACTCTGTTCAATTATAAGTTCCTAGGCATTAGTCTAAGTTTTGGTTTAAGGCTATGGAGGGCATCATTAGGTCTCATTTTGTCCAAATTCGGATTTACACGTACTTTCTCACTCATTTGGAACTTGGGGCATGAATTATTTTGACTGCTAATATTGGGTGTTCCAAATTTCCAATTTTTCCCTAATCTTGAGAAAATTGAATGCAATGGTGACAACATGTCACCGTTGTTATGTGGTGTCACCGATAAATAATAATCTATCATGTAAGGAAGTGGATTCTATATAACTTAGTAACTATTACGTCTATGTAAGAAAATAATTATCTTGTNGACACCCCTAAATTTTTACCCATTTACAAAAAAAGGGCATTGAAAGAATCTCAAAACAATTCCTTTTAGATAATTTGGATGAAAGAAGTTCAGTAATTAATATTTTGATAATACTATTTGGACTAATTTGCTGACATTATTTTCTGACGTAATTAATCACAATAGTTGGATTGGTAACGTGTCTTAACGAATATTAGGATTTACTGACAATCTAATGATTATAAGTAACTAGATTAACAAATTAAATCAGTAAATTAAGTCTATTAAGTTTAAAAAATATTTACTCTTTACATTCTAAGATTCTAAATTCACGGATTACAAAATCATTATGTTAATCAGATTCATATGTTTACGAGTGATTACCTATGTTTTCAAATTGAAGTAACAGTAATGAATCAAGGAAAACACGTGGGTGTAATAGTTCTCGATTATTAAAAAAAAAAAATTCCACAAAGCAAATACTATATCCCTCTAAAGAATGTATTTAACATGAATTAATTTGTAATGATAGATTAGTAAACAAGGTCTGTCTAGGGTAGCCAAAAAAAAATTCGGTACCGTACCTCCAAATTTATTACTTTAATAGTTTTTTTTATAATTTTTGTGAGTCATTTTATAATTAAAAAATTTATCATTTTTGTGGATAATTTACTATTTTTATAAGTATTTTTTACTACAGTTGTGATAGTTATTTTTATAACTTTTCTTCAGTGAAAAATAATTATTACTTTTGTGGGTGATTTACCAGATTTTGTGACATTTTTTTTATCACTGTTGTGAGTGTTTTTATTATTGTTATGATAATTATTTTTACTATTTTTTTTCAACATTATAACAGTGGAAAAAACACCTACAATAGTGATAAAAATACCTACAAATTTAATAAATGTCCATACAATATCAATTTTTTTTTTCGATACGATAGACTTTGAGATGACACTNTTTATTAAAATTAAAACATGAAAGAATAAGTTGCAAACTATTCAAAGTTAAAAGGATCATTTTGTAATTAACCCTCTGGTTATTTGATCTGGTTTCACATCATCTCCACAGTTTTTAAAAGTAATCTTTGCCGCCTGGGAACTAATGATTGAAGTGCAGAAATAAAAGGGTTTCCTTTATAATTAACCATTGCATTACATAGAGGTTTAGTGAAAATTGAGCAAAAGGAATTAGGACAGNTCTGTTTGGTGTCTGAGCTCTAAGTTATGAAAGACTATACATTGTCGGTCTACTCTAATCATAAGCCGATTACTCTGTTCAATTATAAGTTCCTAGGGATTAGTCTAAGTTTTGGTTTAAGGCTATGGAGGGCATCATTAGGTCTCATTTTGTCCAAATTCGGATTTACACGTATTTTCTCAATCATTTGGAACTTGGGGCATGAATTATTTTGACTGCTAATATTGGGTGTTCCAAATTTCCATTTTTTCCCTAATCTTGAGAAAATTGAATGCAATGGTGACAACATGTCACGGTTGTCATGTGGTGTCACTGATAAATAATAATCTATCATGTAAGTAAGTGGATTCTATATAACTTAGTAACTATTACGTCTATGTAAGAAAATAATTATCTTCTNTTGCCGTTGTTTTAGGACTTTTTTGGATGAATTTTAAAAGATAATCACACAGTACAAAAAACTAATAAAAGAGATTTTCTTTTTTAATCTGGTCGAAAGGATTTTGGTTACAGAAAAGACTGATTTAATAGCTTTGATTATAACAATAACTCATTTTTAAAATTAATCTAAAACTACTTCTAAAAATGTCAAGATCGTGAGTCTTGTTCGGGTTTGAATATATCCTTTAACTTCTCTATTGTCTGTCTTTTATAGCCACTATGTTCAACAATTCTGCCTCCATCGACTGTTATTTGACTTGTAACTCTCAGACAATTATTTTTACTTTTAAAACAAGACTGTGGCTAATCATTTCTTGTCTTTCTTCAAATTATGTCACGTGACCTCCTCTTAATGCCTTCAGATTTGCTAGATGTCAATGTATCGAACATTCCTATAATTTTATATTTTAGATCCAAATAATAATATAACAAATTTAAATTAAATTTGTGTACGTGTGTGAAAAAAAATTAATGGTGATAAGGTGCAAGCGAACCTACATATAGGGAAGCATTTGTAATTTCTCTTTGCATTTGCAAATAAAGCATCATGTGAGCTTGAGGGAGAAAATGACAATAATTATGCTTTGGGTGTAAGGAATTGGGAAATTTCAAGGCAACTTCTGTTCTGAATGAGGCTAAGCAATTCATGTAGATGCCACTCTTAGGAGTTTTGTCAATATCACGTGTCGGGCCTTTTGTGGAGTCTAATTTTTTGTGCTTGATTCAAATGATGATTCGATCCAAAATAATGTTGCGTGATTTTTAATGAAATTTTTTTTAAGACTTAGTCTATTGAGCGGAGGCTTGACCCGCTTTGTAGTCCGGTGCAGGACATATAAAACTTGTTGTTTTGGGTGATTAGAGTTTGATTAATTTTGTACGGGCGTTTTTTATTCTTTCTTGATAATAGTGAAATTCTTACAGTTTCGTGAACGTAGGCAAATTATCGAATCACGTAAATATTGTCTTGTGCGTGTGATTATTTTTTTTTAACATGTATTTTTTCTATTGTTGTTTCTCACAAGTTTAAGAATTTTGTGTGAATTTCCTAATATCACGAATAATTTTGTTTCAGATCATCCTACCTAGTACAAGCCAAGCAAATTAGAATTACGCATATTTCAGGAACTATGCATAATCAACTAGGTGTAATCCGGATCGAGAATTGAGTCCAGCTTTGCAAATTTGATTTTGTCGAAATTGTTTTTTTAAATGAGCCTAAAAAATTGTTCGATCTCGACTAGTTTAAAAAATAAGGCGAGTCCGAGTCCGAGTCCAAAACGAGTCAAGCCCGAGTAATTTGATTATTTTACGTATAAAAAATTAAAATTTGTGAGTTCGAGCCGAACTTTTTTAGACTCATTTTTTAAACGAGTATAAAAAATTATTTAAACGTAACTCGTTTAAAACTCGAGTCTAAAACATGAGCCGAACCCGAATTGATTAGCTTAATGACTATCGCTTATGTGGTTAATTTTCGATGGGAGTCTAGAACACGAGCCGACCTCTATTATTACTTTTGAAGTTATTGGTTAGTCTAATGACTATCATTTTTGTGGTTAAACTTTAAGATTGTTGATTTGAAATTTGCCGTTTCTTTGCTCGACAAATAATAATAATAATAATAATAATATTAATTTTACATGGGATCTACATATAGGGTTTGTTTTTTTTTTTTTTGAATTGGATATAGGGCTCGTTTAGTAGACGTATTATGAGGAGATTAAATATTAAATTATATTATTTTTTATTTAATCGGGTCTAATATTTTGTTTGACAAACAAATTTGATACCATATTAATTTCAAAAACTTATATTAATCGTATATTTTTTATACAATAAATCTATATTATAAAAATATTTTAATACCATTAAAGGTGGTATTATAATCCAACTCAAACGTATTATTCAACACAGTTACTATTATAACCCTCTAACAAATAAAATTAAGTTGTTATCAATGTAACAAATATTGATTGAGAGTAGTTTTGTTAATTTAACATTAATACGATGAAATAATTCTCTAACCAAATAACTGATTAGATTAAATAATTACTATCTAATGTTTATGTTGTGTATTATCAAATATTAGATAAAATTATATATTATTTTAATATCTTATTTAATTTTATCTTTTGTTCTATTATATTATATTAGATTAAATTATTTTATATAATTTATCAATTTTTAATACGACAAACAAATAAACTAATAATGTCATCCCATGTAGTAAAGTATGTAAAGGTTGACCAATGATGGGTCCCCTTGAGATCCCACCATGGTCCCTAATGTACATGATATGTTGGTAAGAAAAAGTCATCGTGTTTGACGGTTCAGAAATAGCTGATACAGCTAATATCATCCCATCACATGGGCTCCACCTTTTTGTGGGTCCAGCAATATATGTGTAGGACATGGTGATTGTACAAAGTGTCACGTGTCGACTTATTGTGTGTCATTACCCATGATTCAAGGACTCCTCAATCCACACTCCCACCGAAAAAGAAGTAGATGAAGGGGAGGAAGAAACCCTCAGCCCACAAAATAAAAGCAACCTTTGGGTAAATGTTCAGTCTCCCTCTTCCCAACCCTCCTCCCACCAAACACATAGACTCAGAGAGAGAGATGGCTCAGGCTTTGCCATTAGGCCTATGTCTCTTGTTCATCTTCGGCCTCTCTTTTGGAGTGTAATGAACTAATAAACCCAGACCTAAATCTCTTCTTTTTGAAGAAGATGGCCCAAGAACAAAACCCTTCACTGCTCTTGGATGCTTTGTATTGTGAAGAAGAACATTGGGAGGAAGTGAGAGAGAACGGTTTTGAGGAAGAAGAAGAAGAAGAGAGCTATTACAGTGACTGTATAAGCCCCAAATCTCCATTGTTGCAAGAATATGACTTGTTGTGGGAAGAGGAAGAGTTGTCTTCTTTGTTCTCAAAAGAACAGCAAAACCCTCTATATAATAGCTTTGAAACCGACCCATCATTGGCTGAGGCTCGCCGGGAGGCGGTGGAGTGGATGCTCGAAGTGGTTTCTCACTACTCGTTCACTGCTCTCACTGCAGTACTTGCGGTGAACTACCTTGATAGATTTCTCTTCAGCATCAAGTTGCAGAGAGAGAAGCCATGGATGACCCAACTCGCTGCTGTGGCCTGTCTCTCTCTTGCTGCCAAAGTTGAAGAGACCCAAGTGCCCCTCCTATTGGACCTCCAAGTATGAATCTTTTCACATTTAATTTCACATCATTATGTTTGATTCTTGTATAAATATGTGTAGATTTACTTTGCTTTATCAGTAATGTAGGGTTTTTTTGTTTTTGATGCGTATAGGTGGAGGAGACTAAGTATATATTTGAGGCAAAAACAATTCAGAGAATGGAGATATTAGTACTGTCCTCTCTTCAATGGAAGATGAACCCTGTTACCCCACTTGCATTTCTTGACTATATTACTAGGAGGCTAGGCTTAAAGAACCACCTCTGTTGGGAATTCCTTAAGAGATGCGAGTGTCTCCTTCTCTCTGTCATTTCAGGTCACCAATGATTTTCATATTGCTTTATGAATGCAATATAGATGTAGTTTTTTTGACTTTAGTGCTTATTTTTCTGATCCCCTTTTATCTTTTTCACACTTGCAGATTGTAGAGTAATGTGTTATCTTCCTTCTGTAATGGCCACTGCCACAATGCTGCATGTTATCAATGGTGTAGAGCCCTGTATTGGACTAGAGTTCCAAGATCAACTATTGGGCATTCTTGGCATTGAGAAGGTTGGTATATTTCTTCTTTTAATTGAATTGATTCCTATTGCATCTTATTGGAACTGGTAACATTATTTGGATTTCACATAATAGTGAGAAATGAAGAGAATTGTTCCTAGCCATGTTAATCCTTATGTTCATTATCTCAATTGTTTTCGTTTCTTGATTGATTATTCATTACATTGTACGTTCACAACAAATCAGCTAGTTGATTGCATTTGAAATCCTGATTATTCACATCACTTATGCGAAGTTTTGTACTAAAGCAGGTCAAAGTGGATGATTGCTTTAAGCTAATCCAGGAGTGGGCCTCAAGAGTCCGTTATTGCTTATCCAACAAACGCAAGTTTAGGTTATTGCCAGGCAGCCCCAAAGGGGTCATGGACATGTCTTTCAGTTCGGACAGCTCAAACGAATCATGGGCAGTGGCAGCATCGGTTTCTTCCTCACCAGAGCCCTTGTCCAAGAAGAGCCGAGCTCTTGACCAGCATAACAATGCAGCAGCAGATATTCTCAGCATTCATCGCTAGGCCTCCAGTATCTCTCTTATTTCCTGATGGACTAGTCCTATATATGTACAATAAACAGTAGATGTTCTTTTATTTACAATGTTAAATTGCCTACCATCTTTACATTTCTATCCGTACCTGATTCATAGAGTCGCACACAAATATTGTGGTGTTATCTCTATGAGTAATGGGCATGGAGATTTGGACTTTGGAGGTAGAGATGGTTGGCATTTTATCCGGAAGAAAGCAGAGAACATAAACATAGCAACCAAGTGTAATTTTATCTCTCTATTTATATCTGTAAACCCCTTCTTACTTGTATGGACTTGCTATTGCTGTTAATACAGCTTATTTTTAGGACCATATGGACATAGATTTTGCTTTTAAAAAACTAGTCAGGAGGGTTAGTTTGTTTTCATGTGGAGGGATGAAAATATTGTCGGCCTCTGGTGTTTTTGGGGCTAGATTCAGAGGGATTAGTCTTGGTTTGACCTCGTTGGAAGAGGCAGTCTCTGTTAGACTTGTTTTGAAATGAGGCTAATGACCATGAGCTCAATGACTTCTTTCTACCTACTATGAAACAGTAAACTTTGCATTGGGAATTGTCAAGTTGTTGCTACTACAGAATGTCTTGCAATGCTTTTCTTCTCTTGTTTATCTTTTTACACTGGTAATGTGTATAATTTGAATCATGTGCATTGATACTACCCCGATTTTACACTACCACAGAGATTCAAATTCAAAACGCAGAGTTATACCCAACTTTTTGCTCGATCATTAAACTAACCTGTGTGGATTGAATTGTCATCTTGATAATATATATGCTCTTTGATACTGGTATCTAAAAATTATACCAGCTAGTTGGTGCTTTTCTTTGGGGAAGTAAGGTGTATAAATGGAAAGCACCAAGTCTGAAACTGCTTAGGACTTACCAGTAGCACAAAAGAGAGCCACAAGAAAGCTTTCATGTGCATTCTTCTCTCTTTAAACTAAAGGGAATCATGACCTGGCTTTATTCTTCCATCTTAAATGAATTGCTCTCTAGATTTGATATTTGAAATGCTTAGGCCATTACACTCGTTCATATTATTATATTCGACTTTGGAAGTTCCGTGAATGTCGGGCCTATATATATACATGTGTATGCATAATTTTTGCTCACACCGACTACCGCATTGGTAAGTAAAAAATATATGAAAAATTTTATTCTAATTTAATTTGAAAAGTCAACTTTAATCAATCTGTATGAGTTAAATGAAACGGAAGGGAAGGGGGGGGGGGG